CTTGTTTTGTAATAATGCCGTAAAAGATCAAAAGTGTCAGTTTGTCAATCAGTTCCCTCGTCAACCTTTTTTCTCGTTCCGAAGTGTAGTTTTCTGTAAAAAGAATAAGAAAGAGGTTGCATAGTTACATTACCTTATTTTATTAATAACTTTAAATATCTAGTAATTATTAGCAAATGATCTCTTCTCATACGGAGGTGGTTTGAGCATTAATTACCACGCTTTCTCAAGGCGGATTGGATATTCCTAATACCTCAAAATATAAGAACAATAAGTCTTTTTTTATGTAATTGGTCGGCAAACGAGCAGACGGATTACCTGATGGTAAGCAATCAGCGCCGCCCATAGACACCCGCAACGGAGGAGTTACGAGTGCGTTGCCGACCTTTTAGGGATTAGGGATTTGGAGATTTAGGGATTGAGGAGAGATTGGGGGTGGGGAAGGATTGGGCCTACGGTAACCTCACTCACACGGCGAAACACAACGCTGTGGTTGTTTCACGCCGGTCTTCTGTGAGGCCGTGGTCGGTCGACCCATTCGTGCCGAGGCTTGGCTCTCTAACACTTCAGTTCAGTCTCAGAAAGTCCTTTCATGAATGAGAAGCTGGCGTCTTAATCTGTAGACAACTACGACTATAACAAATTTTACAGAGTTTTATTTAAAAAGCAAGGACATGACAGTGTAAAAAGTTTCATAAAAACATACTCCAAATGGCCATGTCGAAATCTGGAACCATATTTATTCCAGAAAGGACCACGTTTTACTTCGTAACTGAAAACGGAATACTAATCCAGCCTAATATAAATAAGAAGTATGATAATGAGAAGGCGAGTGGAATAAATTATCCATTTTTACGATAAAAGTTGTATTTAATTCAAGTAAATACGAGTACGTAAATTCTGGATTCCAAAATGATTACTTCGAAACACGTCTTTTTCTAAAAGCACGAATTCTCATCGTGAATTTGTTTTTAACCGACTTCAAAAAAGGAGGAGGTTCTCAATTCGACGCGTATTTTTTTTTTTTTTTTTTTTTATGTATGTACACCGATTACTCGAAGACGCCTGGACCGATTTGCAAAATTCTTTTTTTATTCGATAGGGTATACTTGCCATTTGGTCCCATTGTCATGAGGTCAGGATCTGATGATGGAATCCTGGAGAAACCGAGGGGAACTTTCGAAAATTGTAGGGGCGAGTAGTGTTTTTGTATGATGTTTAAGTAGGCCTTTATCAACTCTACAATTTGACGAAGGTCGAAGTCGACCAGATGTTGGAGCTGGAAGACAGTCGAGGGATCTCCTTGACTATTTGAAGTAGTTGCCTTGTGTTTGGGCTTGAATGATTCGTATTGACGAGCACTTTGCAGTAGGCTTGGTTGTAACTGTCATTAAGGGTCTGATGATGAGAACGAAGGACAGCTCAAGGAACTCCTGAACGGTTTACAGTAACTACTTCGTATTTGAACTTAATTCATTTATATTGATGAAAACTTTGTACCTGCATGTATTATAACAACTGAAGGTTTGCAGTTTACCTGATGATGGAGACCATTGACCGATGAGGGAATTCCGGATGGAACCGAGAGACAGTCGAGAGAACTCCTCAACGATTCATAGCAGCTTCCTTGTGTTTGAGCTTAATTAATTCGTTTTGATAAGAACTTTACATCTAGATGGATTGTGACTGTCATCAGGGATCTGATGATGAAGACGAAGGACAGTCTAGGGAACTCCTCAACGGTTTACAGTAGCTACCTCGTGTTTGGACTTAATTTATATTGTTAAGAACTTTCCTGGAGAGATGGCCTGTGTTCCAGTAGTGGGAACATTAAAATGGCTGATAATGATGATGATGATGATGAGAACTTTCCCATTTCTTGAGATCTATTTTTTTTAACGAGCGGCTCCTTTCGTTGGCCTAGGTACACATAGCTACTTAAAAAGTATATACTATTCAATATGTTAATTTATATTTAAAATGTTACTGTAGTTTACAGAAGAACTTGTAACAGATACTAAAAAGTAAAAAATAAAAAAAACTACGTTTAAAAAAACCGACTTCAAAAACAAAAAAGTGTCAAATAAGTAATTAAAATTGATATTTTAATAGCACTCTTACGTACGCGAAGCTAATACTTTTAATATTAATAATAAAACACTATCAATTCTATGTGCTACCTATTCATAGATTTGAAGTCGGTGCCAAGCCCTAAACAGAATAAAACTAAATGAGAATTAAGACTGTTTAATTGCTGAAAGACGAAATTTCCACAACTAACAACGCAGCCATCTACTACTACTTTTAACAACCAAGTACAAGAAAACTTTCATAATTCATCCAAATATCTTTCTAAGCTATATACAGTTTCGCCGGTAACGCAACCATATAGACTTCTGATTCTACGCTTACGCCATCAAGTTAGAAAATCGGTACTACATTTCTTAAATCAGGCACCGACTTCAATGAAACAATGAAACAATGAAACAATGAATTTATTTTTGCAAATAGGCCATAAAACGGCACTTTTACACGTCAATTTATATGTGAAAAACTAGATGAAGCCGGCATTTCCTATCTGACTACTCTGAGAAGAAATGCCGAAACAAACTCAGAGGTCAGTCTCTTTTCAAGTCCAGACAATGTAAAAATAACATAATGTGAGAGAATCGTGCAAGTTCATTCTGTAGTGGTCTTTTGAGGAAAGAACCACACCAGTTTAAGTGGACCCGTTCTGAAGACAGGCACGCAAGTGTCAGTTTGCAACCAGTATAGCTAGTGCTGCTGAGTTGTCCGACGAACAATACCGATCTAAAGAACATTTGGGTGGGTCGCGCAAGTACTCAAACTGTCAGAACGCAGATAACTGGTAATCAAAAAGCACGGCAAGTCTCACACGGTCCTTACACTAACAATAATATAAAATAATAAAAATGTCAAATAAAAAATAAAATGTCACAATAGGTGATTATGTCATTGTATAAAAAATAAAAAATAAACGTAATGTCAAATTGTATATAAAATTGTAACTTATGTTACAAACATGTCAACATGACCTGTGCAGACATTACAGCGGCTCATTCCCATGCCTGACTATCCTCTAAGTAGTCTTTTATTTTATAAAATGCTTTACAGCAAAGTTTAGCCTTTATTACACTTTTAAATTTATTGAGGCTCAAATTTTGAATATCGCTAGGAATTTTATTGTAAAAGCGTATACATTGACATCTAAACGAACTAGTTATTTTCTGAAGCCTGGAGGCAGGGACAACATATTTGTTTTTCCCCCTCGTGTTAATATTATGTATATCACTATGCTTCTTAAATAAGCTTTTGTTTTTATGAGCGTGAATTACATTTTCATAAATATATTGTGAGGCAACCGTCATTATCTTAGTTTCCTTAAATAATTCTCTGAGCGATTCAAACCTATGAATAGGTAGCACATAGAATTGATAGTGTTTTATTATTAATATTAAAAGTATTAGCTTCGCGTACGTAAGAGTGCTATTAAAATATCAATTTTAATTACTTATTTGACACTTTTTTGTTTTTGAAGTCGGTTTTTTTAAACGTAGTTTTTTTTATTTGTCTAAAAACTTACCTATGTACTAAGTCTGATGTGGTTTTTCATTTTAAACTTTATTATTCGACGGTCGTAAAGCGAATTACGTTTTGTGTATTTTCATTTTTATTTAGTGTGTGTGTGTGTGATAATATTTTACATTTGATTAAACTTTTGATTAATATTTCAAGTAATTTTGACGCAGACTTTATTTTGGGCCAAAAGTCTGTGTGGAATTTTTTAAATGTCCAATTTCTCTAAATCTTTAACACACACAAACATCTATTTCATGTATTATTAAAACGTGCGATCGAACTTAGACTAGTGTTTAAGTTTTCGTGCAAAAACTAGATATTATATGTATACCTATATACGTATTTGGGTCTACTTTACATAATCGTATGAAATATTTCTTCTTTCTTATATAGAGTTCAGTATTAAACCTTAGGAAAAAAGGCATACCATTTTTACGCAGCCAATGTTGCGGGGCTAGTTCAATAAATTAACGTGACCTTGCTCGATGCTGAAGTTGGATCGGTTGGGTTTTAGTCAGTAAGAGTCTGATAATCAGTCTCATACTCTCTTGCCTTACCTAGGGCAAGAACTACATTGAATGCTTTACCCCCTCAATAAACGAATCAGCACTTAACTTCACGACTTGTGCAATTTTTTTATGTAACAGACTGACAAACGAGCCTGAATTTGGAAAAGAAACAAAGGATTACCTGATGGTAAGCAATCAGCGCCACCTATGGACAACCGAAACAGAAGAGTTACGAGTGCGTTGCCGATCTTTCTTTTGGCGATTAGGTATTTGGAGATATAGTAATTGGGGGAGGGGAAGGATTGAGCCTCCGTTAACCTCACTCACACGGCGAAACACAACGCTGTGGTTGTTTCACGCTGGTTTTCTGTGAGGCCGTGGTATCACTCCGGTTGAGCCGACCCATTCGTGCCGAAGCATGACTCTTCCACACTTTAACAAACCAAACTAATATATAAAACCTTTTTGTTTCAGAAAATGCAATCGGCAATCAAAATCCAAAGCACCAACCAATCGTAGATGATATCAGTGCCCGACCTGGATATACAATGGAACATAACGACGGATACACAAACCGAAATCATTATAGAAAACGTGAAAGAAGAAAAATACAATCTATCGAACAATTTTTACAACGTACTAAGAAGACCAGATGAGGTTAACGAAAATTGTAGTCTTAATGTAAATTCAACAAAAGATGGCTGTTTGGAAGTGACTTATGATGGTGTAGAGATTAGTGTTGTGTGTATATTGTGTCTATTGATAGTTGTGACCGTGATAGGCAATACTTTGATAATATCAGCTGTTGTGACGACAAAACGGTTGAGGACTGTGACTAATTGTTTTGTCACGAGTTTGGCGGTTGCTGATTTGTTGGTGGGGATATTCGTGATGCCGCCTGCTATTGCAGTTCATATAAGCGGTGAGTTTTTTTTTATTTAAAACTACCTTCTGTTCACATGGACGTAGAATAGTGACATTTTTTTAGATGTTTAAACAAATTTCTTTCCAATATCGAATGTTACTTACAGAATACAGGAAAGAAAATTGATGTTTTTACAAATGTTTTTTTCAACTGCTCTATTTTTAACTAACTTCTTCGTGGCATAATAACAGCCTGTGTGATAATCCAAGCTATCATCTTTTTACATATCAAATGTCGGTACAAACAAATCGGTCTAGCCATTTTAGCTTAAAAGAATAACAAACATATACATATCTGTACATACTCATAAACTTTCACATTTATAGTGTTATAGTAGGATTTTGCCCTTGACTCATAAGAATATTGGGAACCTAATCGAGTAATCGAGCCTGTTTTCCAGATTTAGCGAGACTTAATATAGTCGATTGGGCTTGATCACCTCGTATATAGACTAGGTGACCCGGCGAACTATGTACCGCCTCAAATACAAATATTTGTTTTGACCTTTTAAACCTTCCCTGGACTTCAACAAATATTTTAAGACCTAAATTACTTAAATCGGTCTAGCCGTTATCGAGTTTTAGCGAGACTAACGAACAGAAATTATTTTTTATGGGTATATAAGAAGATAACTAGGTTTGCAATCAGCTTTTTAAACCAATAACCATCTGAAAACATCACTTGAAATTAATAACAGCTCAGATTTTACTTTACAACTGAAACTTTGAATGAAATCGAATGAAAATTTTAATTCGTTTCAGTACAAGTTTGTTACAGTTACGGTTCGTCTCATCTTTACATTATTATGCAAAATGGTTGGCAGTTTGAGAAGCTTCGTTTTGTAATTGATCATAAAATCAATTAATTCTCTTTGATGTTGAATTGTTAAATTGGCTGAGAGTGACTGAGAGGTTTTCTTTTAGTCACTTTAATACTTTTTTTTTATAAGATTTGATGTCAAAATAGCAGACGGATTATCCGATGGTTAACAATCAGAGCCGCCCATGGACAAACGCAACAGCGAAAGAGTTACGAGTGCGTTGCCGACCTTTTACGGATTATGATTTTGGGGATTTAGGGTTTGGATAGGGGAAGGGATTGGTAACCTCCGGTAACCTCACTTACACGACTAAACACAACGCTGTGATTGATTAACGCCGGTTTTCCGTGAATAGGAAATTTTGGAAATCGTAATCATAATATACCAGTACCTTACATTATTGGTCGATCAGGAAAGTCTATTGAGGGACAATTGTAAATTAAATATTTTTCTTTCTAACCTCATTTTGTGCTAATACATAATCATATATGTGTAGTTTATGATAATGTTAAACCAACTTTGTGCGCTCTCTTAAATTAATGTTCCTTCTTTGCTTGACATCTCCTTAAAGTAAAGAAAAATCTAGATTTGAGTACCAAGCGTTGTGCGTCTGAAATATATTTAGTTTTTTATGTAAGTGGTATTTTCTTTAAGAAAATGATTTACATATAATCATAATAAGCACGTGTAGAGAATAACGTATTCATATTCAAATAAATTGTTTTTCAGAAGAACAAAAATGCTGGTGACATACATTACATCTTACATATTAGACCTAATAACTAGAGGAACGATCCCCAAATCCCTTGTTATCCTACTCTATACCCTCTGTAATCCCTAGATCCCCAATCCTCAATTCTCTTGAGTAATCCAAAATACGAACAATTAAATATGGTGGCGATTATTTACCTTAAGGTGATACAACGGCAAGATCTCACAAAAATAGAATTTACGTTTGTTATTTCTCGAAAAAAAAAACAATAGACACATCTACTAAGTAATCACCTATCAAATCAGTATCAAACCCTGAAGGATCTCATAATTCAGAAAATAAACTGTTTAAGCACGTACAACACAAGTTCAGTCAATCAACATTTAAGAATATGCATTATGTTTTTTCTTTTATACGAGTATCATAGTCGGCAAACGAGCATACGGATTACCTGGGGCCTGAGTCTACTATTTTCAAAGTGTTGTCATTCCTACACGATTCCATTGTCATTTTGCTAAAAGTTCATAATCTGTTAATTCAAAATGGCTGATCTTTGGCGTTCGGCGATGTCGTAATAGAATTATAGTACGAGATGTCTTATAACGAATTATAAACAATAACTGCACATTAATATTCTAAACGTAAATCATTGAATAAAGGAACTGTTATTTTTTTATTAATTTACCGCATTATCTCAAATATTAATTTGTCATTATGTACGAGATTACCGTTCTAAAGAATTATTTCAATGAAGTGGCATTGGTAAGTCATAATGACGCTATCGTGTTAGTAGATTACCAAACTTGTCAAAATTTTGAAACCAATGATCTACTATTCTGACACTATTGTTATAGCAGACTCGAGGCCCAGATAGCAAGCAAGCAATCGACACCGCCTATTGACACTTGCAATACCAAAAGAGTTACATCGAGTGCGGCCTTTTGTGGCTTGTTAGGGGTCCTCAGATTGCCTATCTGTAAATAAGCAATCTGATGGGGGGAGGGTAGGCCTCCGGTAACCTCAGTCAGACGATGAAATAAGGTACGTTAATAAGGCTTCACGCCAGTTTTCTGTGAAGCCGTGGTATCACTCCGGCCGAGCGAGTCCATTCGTGCCGAAGCATGGCCATCCCACACTAATATGTAACAAAGTTGAAATTGCATCACGCAAACCAATCCACGACCCACAACATAATAAAATTTTAAGGCGATGATTAAAAAAACCCCTTTCAAACAGCTGAGTCCTTCCCTTCCCCAATAAACGATAAAATGGAGGCTGTGATATATCACAAAATATAAAGGTCTCAGTTCCCGCGTAAAGGCAAAAGATATCAGATTTATTTCTTTGCCTTTTTCAAGGGTTATGTGGGTAGTTCGATAAAATGTTCGTTAGGGGTGACGCTTACTGGTAGCGTGGAATATTTTAATATTACCTTTACACAATAATTTTATTATTCGCTTTTGTTTCCTTTGGGTGTTTCAGTAATGGTTCTGTATTAATTTTGTACTTAAAAGATGCCTGAATTGACATAATCATAGTTTACATTTACACATACTGGTTAAAACTGTGACTGTATATTTTAGAAAAGTTACTGTATTTACTGTTTGAATTAACATTTCGTTTGTCTATAAATTTATCGCTAAGCTAAGACAGAATTAGTATTTGAAAGAACTTACTCTCGCTTATGGAAACGCGGTGATGATTAACAGCAGAGACAGAACCAAACGTTATGGGGTGTAAGGAAAAAATATTAGACAAAGATTCTTAAACCAAACCTTTTGTAAGAAAATTCTCATAAAAATTTAATGAATTAATTATATGTATAGGCTTACAAATGTATCTGATTGTTGAGATAACTCGTCTAGTTTCAAGCGACACTAGTATCTTAAGGAGGGATTCGTCAAATAGCAGCTATTTGATTTGGAGAAGTTACTTCTTTCGCCAATCTGGGTGTTGGGCTGTTACTGATTAAAAACTATCCCGTTGCTTCTTCTGCCGCTTGCGCCCGCAACCGCAGTTACCCTAGGTCAAAGATTTTGTCATAACTAGAGTTAAACTATTGTTATAAATTTTCTTATTTGCTACTGATTGCCAATGTTTTAGTCGTTTACCTTTTCCCATATATGTACTATCCAATAAAAAAAAACAATCTTATTGTTCAATTCGAATTAGTAGTTCCGGAGATCAGCGCGTTCAAACTAACTCTTTAGCTTTGTATTAAAATATAGTAGTAGATACAAAAAAAATGTCGTGGTGGCCCGGGTTCGAAACCTGGCAAGTACCAATGTGACTTTTTCCAAGTTATATGTACTTTCTATGATTATTTAGACACCACTGACATACGGTGAAGGTAAACATCGTGAGGAAACCTGGACTTATAATTTCTAATTACAAGTTTAAAATCGCCAACCCGCATTGAGCAAGCGTGGTGATCAATGCTCTAACCTGCTCCGTATGAGAAGAGGCCTTTGCTCAGCAGTGGGCACTTATAGGCTGATGATGATGATGATTATGATGATGATGAGTAGATATAAATTGATAGATTTAATCTTTACATTTAACTATAGCAAACGTTGCCACTGAGCGTCGTTCTTTGATCTTCCCAAAGTATGGAAGATTTGAGTTCCAAATATATTTTATTTTTCCCTTCGACATGATTCAACTGTTACCGAAACGATTACTGTCATACTTTGTTACCTTCTTCTTTTGACCACTACTTATGGGGGGTATGAAACAGTTTTGTGTGGATTTAAGCATTTAATCATCAGAGATTCTTTTATGCAACTTTGTGGCTAATAATGATTAAATAGGTACTGTTTTTAAAGACATTTAATGATTATATGTACCTATATAGGTCAGCAAACGAGCACATGGATTACCTGATGGTAAGCAATCGGCACCGCTCATGGACCGGACCATGGAGCAAGTCCAGAGGAGCTATGCGTTTGTTTCGGCTTTTTGTGGATTAGAGTTTCATAGATTTAGGGATTCGGAAGAAATTGGGGAGGGAAAGAAGGATCGGGTCTTCTGTAACCTTAAGACCTTAACCTTACTCCCATGGCGAAACAGAACGCTGTGGTTGTTTCACAACGGCTACATCCGACTGCACGGTTGGTGCGGTGGCAGGACAACTGGCTGCCGTACAACGAGTCGCGGTTTCGATTCCCACACGAAACAACTCTTAGTGTGATCCACTAATTGTTGATCCGGGTCTGGGTCTGATGTGTATGTGAAATTGTATGTTTGTTGTGGGTTTAGTAACCATTTAAGCCTTTGACTGCCGACAGAAAACTATTGAAGGCTAATCCTCCGCTAGCGTAGGTCACCGGTGACCTACGTGGCGGTTAACGTGTTAATAACTCTGAGTAAGGCGATCTACACTGCAATACAAACAAGCTATCGTCTGTTTCAAACGTTGAGTATTGTTGCTACAATTTCAAGGGCATAAGACGTTGTCTCAGACAG